CACCACCCTCACCACCACCCTCACCAGCACCCTCACCGCCACCCTCACCACCACCCTCACCACCACCCTCACCACCACCCTCACCACCACGCTCACCACCACCCTCACCACCACCACCACCCTCACCAGCACCCTCACCACCACCCTCACCACCACCACCCTCACCACCCCGCTCACCTTATACTCTTTAATCTCCTCCAGGAGGATTTCGTCAGCGTTGGCAAACACCTCCACCTTTTTCTGCCTCTCCACCTTGCGCCTCAGCTTCGAGATGTCCTCCTGTGCCACCACCACCACCACACACACCACACACACCACGTGTATATCACACACACACACACACCACGTGTATATCACACACACACCACACACACCACACACACACACCACATGTATATCACACACACACACCACATGTATATCACACACACACACACCACACACACCACACACACCACATGTATATCACACACACACACCACATGTATATCACACACACACACACACCACGTGTATATCACACACACCACACACACACCACACACACACACCACATGTATATCACACACACACACCACATGTATATCACACACACACACACCACACACCACATGTATATCACACACACACACACCACACACACCACGTGTATATCACACACACACCACACACACCACATGTATATCACACACACACACCACACACACACACCACACACACACACACCACACACACACCACATGTATATCACACACACCACAAACACACACACACACCACACACACACCACATGTATATCACACACCACATGTATATCACACACACACCACATGTATATCACACACACCACAAACACACACACACACACCACACACACACCACATGTATATCACACACCACATGTATATCACACACACACCACATGTATATCACACACACCACAAACACACACACACACCACACACACACCACGTGTATATCACACACACACACACCACACACACACACCACATGTATATCACACACCACATGTATATCACACACACACCACATGTATATCACACACACACACACCACACACACACACCACATGTATATCACACACACACACACACCACACACACACACCACACACACACCACATGTATATCACACACACCACACACACACCACATGTATATCACACACCACATGTATATCACACACACACCACGTGTATATCACACACACACACACCACACACACACACCACATGTATATCACACACACACACCACACACACACCACATGTATATCACACACACCACACACACACACACCACACACACACACACCACGTGTATATCACACACACACACCACACACACACCACATGTATATCACACACACACCACACACACACACCACATGTATATCACACACACACACACCACACACACCACATGTATATCACACACACACACACCACACACACCACATGTATATCACACACACACACCACACACACACCACACACACACCACATGTGTATATCACACACCACATGTATATCACACACACACACACATGTATATCACACACACACACACACCACATGTATATCACACACCACACACACCACACACACCACACACACACCACGTGTATATCACACACACACCACACACACACACCACGTGTATATCACACACACACCACACACACACACCACACACACACCACACACACACCACACACACACCACATGTATATCACACACACACACCACACACACACCACGTGTATATCACACACACACCACACACACCACACACCACGTGTATATCACACACACCACACACACACACCACACACACACCACACACACACCACACACACACACACCACATGTATATCACACACACACACCACGTGTATATCACACACACACCACACACACACACCACGTGTATATCACACACACACCACACACACACCACACACACACCACACACACACACCACATGTATATCACACACACACCACACACACACCACATGTATATCACACACACACACCACACACCACACACACACCACACACACACCACGTGTATATCACACACACACACACACCACATGAATATCACACACACACATACCACGTGTATATCACACACACACACCACACACACATCACACACACACACACCACATGTATATCACACACACACACACCACATGTATATCACACACACCACACACACCACATGAATATCACACACACACACACACCACGTGTATATCACACACACACACACACCACATGTATATCACACACACACACCACATGTATATCACACACACACACCACATGTATATCACACACACACACCACACACACACACCACATGTATATCACACACACACACACACCACATGTATATCACACACACACACCACACACACACACCACATGTATATCACACACACACACCACACACCCCACATGTATATCACACACACACCACATGTATATCACACACACACACCACACACACACCACATGTATATCACACACACACACACACCACATGTATATCACACACACACCACACACACCACATGTATATCACACACACACACCACACACACCACATGTATATCACACACACACACCACACACACCACATGTATATCACACACACACACACCACACACACCACATGTATATCACACACACACCACACCACATGTATATCACACACACACCACATGTATATCACACACACACCACACACACACCACACACACCACATGTATATCACACACACACACACCACACACACACCACATGTATATCACACACACACACACCACATGTATATCACACACACACCACACACACCACATGTATATCACACACACACACCACACACACACACCACACACACACACACCACACACACACCACATGTATATCACACACACCACAAACACACACACACCACACACACACCACATGTATATCACACACCACATGTATATCACACACACACCACATGTATATCACACACACCACAAACACACACACACACCACACACACACCACGTGTATATCACACACACACACACCACACACACACACCACACACACACCACATGTATATCACACACCACATGTATATCACACACACACACACACCACACACACACACCACACACACACCACATGTATATCACACACACCACACACACACCACATGTATATCACACACCACATGTATATCACACACACACCACGTGTATATCACACACACACACACCACACACACACACCACATGTATATCACACACACACACACACACCACACACACACCACATGTATATCACACACACCACACACACACACACACACACCACGTGTATATCACACACACACACCACACACACACCACATGTATATCACACACACACCACACACACACACCACATGTATATCACACACACACACACCACACACACCACATGTATATCACACACACACACACCACACACACCACATGTATATCACACACACACACACACCACACACACACCACACACACACCACATGTGTATATCACACACCACATGTATATCACACACACACACACATGTATATCACACACACACACACACCACATGTATATCACACACCACACACACCACACACACCACACACACACCACGTGTATATCACACACACACCACACACACACACCACGTGTATATCACACACACACCACACACACACACCACACACACACCACACACACACCACACACACACCACATGTATATCACACACACACACCACACACACACCACGTGTATATCACACACACACCACACACACCACACACCACGTGTATATCACACACACCACACACACACACCACACACACACCACACACACACCACACACACACACACCACATGTATATCACACACACACACCACGTGTATATCACACACACACCACACACACACACCACGTGTATATCACACACACACCACACACACACACCACACACACACCACACACACACCACACACACACACCACATGTATATCACACACACACCACACACACACCACATGTATATCACACACACACACCACACACCACACACACACCACACACACACCACACACACACCACGTGTATATCACACACACACACACCACATGAATATCACACACACACACACCACGTGTATATCACACACACACCACACACACATCACACACACACACACCACATGTATATCACACACACACACACCACATGTATATCACACACACCACACACACCACATGAATATCACACACACACACACCACGTGTATATCACACACACACACACACCACATGTATATCACACACACACACCACATGTATATCACACACACACACCACATGTATATCACACACACACACCACACACACACACCACATGTATATCACACACACACACACACACCACATGTATATCACACACACACACCACACACACACACCACATGTATATCACACACACACACCACACACCCCACATGTATATCACACACACACCACATGTATATCACACACACACACCACACACACACACCACATGTATATCACACACACACACACACCACATGTATATCACACACACACCACACACACCACATGTATATCACACACACACACCACACACACCACATGTATATCACACACACACACCACACACACCACATGTATATCACACACACACACACCACACACACCACATGTATATCACACACACACCACACCACATGCATATCACACACACACCACATGTATATCACACACACACCACACACACACCACACACACCACATGTATATCACACACACACACACACACCACACACACACCACATGTATATCACACACACACACACCACACACACCACATGTATATCACACACACACCACACACACACCACACACACCACATGTATATCACACACACCACACACACCACATGTATATCACACACACACACCACACACACCACACACACCGCATGTATATCACACACACCACACACCACATGTATATCACACACACACACACCACACACACACCACATGAATATCACACACACACCACACACACACCACACACACACCACATGTATATCACACACACACCACACACACCACACACACCACATGTATATCACACACACCACATGTATATCACACACACACCACACACACACCACACACACACACCACATGTATATCACACATACACACCAGATGTATATCACACACCACATGTATATCACACATACACACCACATGTATATCACACACCACATGTATATCACACACACACACCACACACACCACATGTATATCACACATACACACCAGATGTATATCACACATACACACCACATGTATATCACACACCACATGTATATCACACACACACACCACACACACCACATGTATATCACACACACACACACCACATGTATATCACACACACACCACACACACCACATGTATATCACACACACACACCACATGTATATCACACACACACACCACACACACACACCACACACACACCACACACAACCACATGAATATCACACACACACCACATGTATATCACACACACACCACACGTATATCACACACACACCACACACACACCACACACACCACCACACACACACCACACGTACATCACACACACACCACACACACCACACACAATACACACACCACACACCACACACACACCACACACACCACACACACACCACACACACCACACACCATACACACCACACACCACACACACACCACACACACACACCACACACACACCACACACACACCACACACACACACCACATACACACCATACACACACACCACACCACCACACACACACCACACACACACACGACACACACACACCACATATAGACACCATACACTACCATATGCATGCGAGCGTGCGAGCGAGCGGGTGAGCGTGCGAGTGAGTGGGTGAACAGGTGAGCGTGCGAGTGAGTGGGTGAACAGGTGAGCGTGCGAGTGAGTGGGTGAACAGGTGAGCGTGCGAGTGAGTGGGTGAACAGGTGAGCGTGCGAGTGAGTGGGTGAGCATGCGAGTGAGTGGGTGAGCGTGCGAGCGAGCGGGTGAGCGTGCGAGTGAGTGGGTGAACAGGTGAGCGTGCGAGTGAGTGGGTGAGTGTGCGAGTGAGCGAGCGGGTGAGCGGGCGTGCGAGCGGGTGAGCGTGCGGGTGAGCGTGCGTGTGAGCGAGCGGGTGAGCGTGCGGGTGAGCGAGCGGGTGAGCGTGCGGGTGAGCGAGCGGGTGAGCGTGCGAGCGAGCGGGTGAGCGAGCGGGTGAGCGTGCGAGTGGGTGAACAGGTGAGCGTGCGAGTGGGTGAACAGGTGAGCGTGCGAGTGGGTGAACATGTGAGCGTTCGAGTGAGTGGGTGAGCGTGCGAGTGAGTGGGTGAGCGTGCGAGTGGGTGAGCGTGCGAGTGAGCGTGCGAGCGAGCGGGTGAGCGGGCGTGCGAGCGGGTGAGCGTGCGGGTGAGCGTGCGGGTGAGCGAGCGAGTGAGTGGGTGAACAGGTGAGCGTGCGAGTGAGTGGGTGAGCGTGCGAGTGAGTGGGTGAACAGGTGAGCGTGCGAGTGAGTGGGTGAGCGTGCGGGTGGGTGAGCGTGTGAGTGAGCGTGCGAGCGAGCGGGTGAGCGGTTGAGCGTGCGAGTCCGTGGGTGAACAGGTGAGCGTGCGCGTGAGTGGGTGAGCGTGCGAGCGAGCGGGTGAGCATGCGGGTGAGCGTGCGGGTGAGCGTGTGAGTGAGCGTGCGAGTGAGTCGGTGAGCGTGCGAGTGAGTGGGTGAGCGTGCGAGCGGGTGAGCGTGCGAGCGAGTGAGCGTGCGGGTGAGCGGGTGAGGAGCAAGCAGGCACCTGTGCCCGCTTGTAGTTGAAGGACTCCTTCTCCTTGGCCGTGCGGTTCTCCATGATGGCCGTCTGCAGCTCCTTCAGCTTGAGCTGCGCGTGCTCCAGCTGCATCCGCAGCTCCTCAGCCAGCTGAGCAGCCTCCACCGCCTGCACAGGTACACACACACACACACAGGTAGATATACACACACACACAGGTACACACACACACAGGTACACACACACACACAGGTACACACACACACAGGTACACACACACACGTAGATATACACACACAGGTACACACACACAGGTACACACACACACAGAGACACACACAGAGACACACACAGAGACACACACAGACACACACACAGGTACACACACACGTAGATATACACACACACACACAGGTACACACACACACAGGTAGACACACACGTAGATACACACACACAGGTATACACACACACACACAGGTACACACACACACACAGGTAGATATACACACACACACAGGTACGTATACACACACACAGGTACACACACACACACAGGTAGATATACACACACACACAGGTACGTATACACACACAGGTACACACACACACAGGTACACACACACACAGGTAGATATACACACACATAGATACACACACAGGTACACACACATATAGATACACACATAGATACACACAGGTACACACACAGGTACACACACACACAGGTAGATATACACACACAGGTACACACACACACAGGTACACACACACAGGTACACACACACACACAGGTACACACACACGTAGATACACACACACAGGTACACACACACACACAGGTACACACACACGTAGATATACACACACACAGGTACACACACACGTAGATACACACACACAGGTACACACACACACAGGTACACACACACGTAGATACACACACACAGGTACACACACACACAGGTACACACACACACAGGTATACACACACACACAGGTACACACACACACAGGTACACACACACACAGGTACACACACATATAGATACACACATAGATACACACAGGTACACACACAGGTACACACACACACACAGGTACACACACACACAGGTACACACACACACAGGTACGTATACACACACACAGGTACACACACACACAGGTACACACGTAGATACACACACACATAGATACACACACAGGTACACACACACATAGATACACACATAGATACACACAGGTACACACACAGGTACACACACACATAGATATACACACACACAGGTACACACACACGCACGTAGATATACACACACAGGTACACACACACACAGATACACACACACACAGGTACACACACACACACAGGTACACACACACAGGTACACACACACACACAGGTAGACACACACGTAGATACACACACACAGGTACACACACACACACACAGGTACACACACATATAGATACACACATAGATACACACAGGTACACACACAGGTACACACACACACACAGGTGCACACACACACAGGTACACACACACACGTAGATATACACACACACAGGTACACACACACACACGTAGATATACACACGTAGATACACACACATAGATACACACACACAGGTACACACACACACACAGGTACACACACACAGGTACACACACACACAGGTACACACATATAGATACACACATAGATACACACAGGTACACACACAGGTACACACACACACACACAGGTACACACACACACAGGTACACACACATATAGATACACACATAGATACACACAGGTACACACACAGGTACACACACACAGGTACGTATACACACACACAGGTACACACACACACAGGTACACACGTAGATACACACACAGGTACACACACACATAGATACACACATAGATACACATAGATACACACAGGTACACACACAGGTACACACACACATAGATATACACACACACAGGTACTTATACACACACAGGTACACACACACACACAGGTACACACACACACACAGGTACACACACACAGGTACACACACACAGGTACACACACACATAGATACACACACGTACACACACACAGGTACACACACACACAGATACACACGTAGATACACACACACATAGATACACACACACGTAGATACACACACACAGGTACTTATACACACACAGGCACACACACACACACGTAGATACACACACAGGTACACACACACACAGGTACACACAGGTACACACACGTACACACACACACAGATACACACACACACGTAGATACACACACAGGTACACACACGTAGATACACACACACGTAGATACACACACAGGTACACACACACACAGGTACACACACACACAGGTACACACACACACAGGTACACACACACAGACACACACACACAGGTACACACACACAGGTACACACACAGGTACACACACACACAGATACACACACACAGGTACACACACACAGACACACACACACAGGTACACATACAGGTACACACACACAGGTACACACACACATAAATACACACACAGATACACACACACAAGTACACACACACACAGGTACACACACATAGATACACACACACAGGTACACACATACAGGTACACACACATACAGGTACACACACAGGTACACACACACACAGGTACACACACACACAGGTACACACACACAGGTACACACACACAGGTACACACACACAGGTAAACACACACACAGGTACACACACACACACAGGTACACACACAAATAGTGGGCGAGTGTGTGGGCGAGCATGTGGGTTAGCTGGTGATCGAGTGGGTGAGCTGGTGAGCGTGTGGGTGAGCTGGTGATCGAGTGGGTGAGCTGGTGAGCATGCTGGTGAGCGAGTGGGTGAGCGTGCGGGTGAGCTGGTGAGCGTGCGGGTGAGCTGGTGAGCGAGTGGGTGAGCTGGTGAGTGAGCTGGTGAGTGAGCTGGTGAGCGTGCGGGTGAGCGAGTGGGTGAGCTGGTGAGTGAGCTGGTGAGCGTGCGGGTGAGCTGGTGAGCGTGCGGGTGAGCTGGTGAGCATGCGGGTGAGCTGGTGAGCGAGTGGGTGAGCTGGTGAGTGAGCTGGTGAGTGAGCTGGTGAGTGAGCTGGTGAGCGTGCGGGTGAGCTGGTGAGCGAGTGAGTGAGCTGGTGAGCGAGTGGGTGAGCGTGCGGGTGAGCTGGTGAGCGAGTGAGTGAGCTGGTGAGCGAGTGGGTGAGCTGGTGAGCGTTCGGGTGAGCTGGTAAGTGAGTGGGTGAGCTGGTGAGCGTGCAGGTGAGCTGGTGAGTGAGCTGGTGAGCGAGTGGGTGAGCTGGTGAGTGAGTGGGTGAGCTGGTGAGCGTGCGGGTGAGCTGGTGAGTGAGCTGGTGAGTGAGCTGGTGAGTGAGCTGGTGAGCGTGCGGGTGAGCTGGTGAGTGAGCTGGTGAGCGAGTGGGTGAGCTGGTGAGCGTGCGGGTGAGCTGGTGAGTGAGCTGGTGAGTGAGCTGGTGAGCGAGTGGGTGAGCTGGTGAGCGTGCGGGTGAGCTGGTGAGCGAGTGGGTGAGCTGGTGACCAAGCGAGTGAGCTGGTGAGCGAGTGGGTGAGCGAGCTGGTGAGCGTGCGGGTGACCTGGTAATCGAGTTGGTGAGCTGGTGAGTGTGCGGGTGAGCTGGTGAGTGAGCTGGTGAGCGTGTGGGTGAGCTGGTGAGTGAGCTGGTGAGCGTGCGGGTGAGCTGGTGAGCGAGTGGGTGAGCGTGCTGGTGAGCGTGTGGGTGACCTGGTGAGTGAGCTGGTGAGCGAGCGGGTGAGCGTGCTGGTGAGCGTGCGGGTGAGCGAGTGGGCGAGCTGGTGAGCGTGTGGGTGAGCTGGTGACCGAGCGGGTGAGCGGGTGAGCTGGTGAGTGAGCTGGTGAGCGTGTGGGTGAGCTGGTGACCGAGCGGGTGACCGAGTGGGTGACCGAGTGGGTGAGCAGGTGAGCGAGTGGGTGAGCTGGTGAGCGTGTGGGTGAGCTGGTGACCGAGCGGGTGAGCGGGTGAGCTGGTGAGTGAGCTGGTGAGCGAGTGGGTGAGCTGGTGAGCGTGTGGGTGAGCTGGTGAGTGAGCGTGCGGGTGAGCGGGTGAGCTGGTGAGTGAGCTGGTGAGCGAGTGGGTGAGCGGGTGAGCTGGTGAGTGAGCTGGTGAGTGAGCGGGTGAGCTGGTGAGTGAGCTGGTGAGCGTGCGGGTGAGCTGGTGACCGAGTGGGTGAGCGGGTGAGCTGGTGAGTGAGCTGGTGAGCTGGTGAGCGTGCTGGTGAGCGAGCTGGTGAGCGAGCGGGTGAGCTGGTGAGCGAGTGGGTGAGCTGGTGAGCGTGTGGGTGAGCTGGTGAGTGAGCGTGCGGGTGAGCTGGTGAGCTGGTGAGTGAGCTGGTGAGCGAGTGGGTGAGCGGGTGAGCTGGTGAGTGAGCTGGTGAGTGAGCGGGTGAGCTGGTGAGTGAGCTGGTGAGCGTGCGGGTGAGCTGGTGACCGAGTGGGTGAGCGGGTGAGCTGGTGAGTGAGCTGGTGAGCTGGTGAGCGAGCTGGTGAGTGAGCTGGTGAGCGAGCGGGTGAGCTGGTGAGCGAGTGGGTGAGCTGGTGAGCGTGTGGGTGAGCTGGTGAGCGAGTGGGTGAGCTGGTGAGCGAGTGGGTGAGCTGGTGAGCGAGTGGGTGAGCTGGTGAGCGAGTGGGTGAGCTGGTGAGCGTGTGGGTGAGCTGGTGAGCGTGTGGGTGAGCTGGTGAGCGAGTGGGTGAGCTGGTGACCAAGCGAGTGAGCTGGTGAGCGAGTGGGTGAGCGTGCGGGTGAGCGAGCGGGTGAGCTGGTGACCAAGCGGGTGAGCTGGTGAGTGAGCTGGTGAGCGAGTGGGTGAGCTGGTGAGCGAGTGGGTGAGCTGGTGAGCTGGTGAGTGAGCTGGTGAGTGAGCGGGTGAGCTGGTGAGTGAGCTGGTGAGCGAGTGGGTGAGCGGGTGAGCTGGTGAGTGAGCTGGTGAGTGAGCGGGTGAGCTGGTGAGTGAGCTGGTGAGCGAGTGGGTGAGCGGGTGAGCTGGTGAGTGAGCTGGTGAGCGTGCGGGTGAGCTGGTAATCGAGTTGGTGAGCTGGTGAGTGTGCGGGTGAGCTGGTGAGCTGGTGAGCGAGCTGGTGAGCGTGCGGGTGAGCTGGTGAGTGAGCTGGTGAGCGTGTGGGTGAGCTGGTGAGTGAGCTGGTGAGCGTGCGGGTGAGCTGGTGAGCGAGTGGGTGAGCGGGTGAGCGTGCTGGTGAGCGTGTGGGTGAGCTGGTGAGTGAGCTGGTGAGCGAGCGGGTGAGCGTGCTGGTGAGCGTGCGGGTGAGCGAGTGGGCGAGCTGGTGAGCGAGTGGGTGAGCTGGTGACCGAGCGGGTGAGCGGGTGAGCTGGTGAGTGAGCTGGTGAGCGTGTGGGTGAGCTGGTGACCGAGCGGGTGACCGAGTGGGTGACCGAGTGGGTGAGCGGGTGAGCGAGTGGGTGAGCTGGTGAGCGTGTGGGTGAGCTGGTGACCGAGCGGGTGAGCGGGTGAGCTGGTGAGTGAGCTGGTGAGCGAGTGGGTGAGCTGGTGAGCGTGTGGGTGAGCTGGTGAGTGAGCGTGCGGGTGAGCTGGTGAGCTGGTGAGTGAGCTGGTGAGCGAGTGGGTGAGCGGGTGAGCTGGTGAGTGAGCTGGTGAGTGAGCGGGTGAGCTGGTGAGTGAGCTGGTGAGCGTGCGGGTGAGCTGGTGACCGAGTGGGTGAGCTGGTGAGCGTGTGGGTGAGCTGGTGAGCGAGTGGGTGAGCGGGTGAGCTGGTGAGTGAGCTGGTGAGCTGGTGAGCGTGCTGGTGAGCGAGCTGGTGAGCGAGCGGGTGAGCTGGTGAGCGAGTGGGTGAGCTGGTGAGCGTGTGGGTGAGCTGGTGAGCGAGTGGGTGAGCTGGTGAGCGAGTGGGTGAGCTGGTGAGCGTGTGGGTGAGCTGGTGAGCGTGTGGGTGAGCTGGTGAGCGAGTGGGTGAGCTGGTGACCAAGCGAGTGAGCTGGTGAGCGAGTGGGTGAGCGTGCGGGTGAGCGAGCGGGTGAGCTGGTGACCAAGCGGGTGAGCTGGTGAGTGAGCTGGTGAGCGAGTGGGTGAGCTGGTGAGCGAGTGGGTGAGCTGGTGAGCTGGTGAGTGAGCTGGTGAGTGAGCGGGTGAGCTGGTGAGTGAGCTGGTGAGCGAGTGGGTGAGCGGGTGAGCTGGTGAGTGAGCTTGTGAGTGAGCGGGTGAGCTGGTGAGTGAGCTGGTGAGCGTGCGGGTGAGCTGGTGACCGAGTGGGTGAGCGGGTGAGCTGGTGAGTGAGCTGGTGAGCTGGTGAGCGTGCTGGTGAGCGAGCTGGTGAGCGAGTGGGTGAGCTGGTGAGCGTGTGGGTGAGCGGGTGACCGAGCGAGTGACCGAGTGGGTGAGCTGGTGAGTGAGCTGGTGAGTGAGCTGGTGAGCTGGTGAGTGAGCTGGTGAGCGTGTGGGTGAGCTGGTGAGCGTGTGGGTGAGCTGGTGAGTGAGTGGGTGAGCTGGTGACCGAGTGGGTGAGCTGGTGAGTGAGCTGGTGAGTGAGCTGGTGAGTGAGCTGGTGAGCGAGTGGGTGAGCTGGTGAGCGAGTGGGTGAGCTGGTGAGCGAGCGGGTGAGCTGGTGAGTGAGCTGGTGAGCGAGCTGGTGAGCGAGCTGGTGAGCGTGTGGGTGAGCTGGTGAGCGAGTGGGTGAGCTGGTGAGCGTGTGGGTGAGCTGGTGAGCGAGTGGGTGAGCTGGTGAGTGAGCTGGTGAGTGAGTGGGTGAGCTGGTGAGCGAGCGGGTGAGCTGGTGAGTGAGCTGGTGAGCGAGTGGGTGAGCTGGTGAGCGAGCGGGTGAGCTGGTGAGTGAGCTGGTGAGCGAGCTGGTGAGCGAGCTGGTGAGCGTGTGGGTGAGCTGGTGAGCGAGTGGGTGAGCTGGTGAGCGTGTGGGTGAGCTGGTGAGCGAGTGGGTGAGCTGGTGAGCGTGCGGGTGAGCTGGTGAGCGAGTGGGTGAGCTGGTGAGTGAGCTGGTGAGTGAGCTGGTGAGTGAGCTGGTGAGCGAGTGGGTGAGCTGGTGAGCGTGCTGGTGAGCGTGCTGGTGAGCGTGCGGGTGAGCGTGTGGGTGAGCTGGTGAGTGAGCGGGTGAGCTGGTGAGCGAGCTGGTGAGCGTGTGGGTGAGCTGGTGAGCGAGTGGGTGAGCGAGCTGGTGAGCTGGTGAGCGTGTGGGTGAGCTGGTGAGCGTGTGGGTGAGCGAGTGGGTGAGCGTGTGGGTGAGCTGGTGAGCGTGTGGGTGAGCTGGTGACCGAGCGGGTGACCGAGTGGGTGACCGAGTGGGTGAGCTGGTGAGCGAGCTGGTGAGCGTGTGGGTGAGCTGGTGAGTGAGCTGGTGGGTGAGCTGGTGAGTGAGCTGGTGAGTGAGCTGGTGAGCTGGTGAGCGAGCGGGTGAGCTGGTGAGCGTGTGGGTGAGCGAGCGGGTGAGCTGGTGAGCGTGTGGGTGAGCTGGTGAGCGAGCGGGTGAGCTGGTGAGCGAGCGGGTGAGCTGGTGAGCGAGTGGGTGAGCGAGTGGGTGAGCTGGTGAGCGAGTGGGTGAGCGAGTGGGTGAGCTGGTGAGCGTGTGGGTGAGCTGGTGAGCGAGCTGGTGAGCGTGTGGGTGACCGAGCGGGTGACCGAGTGGGTGAGCTGGTGAGCGAGCTGGTGAGCGTGTGGGTGAGCGAGCGGGTGAGCGAGTGGGTGAGTGAGCTGGTGAGCGTGTGGGTGAGCTGGTGAGTGAGCTGGTGAGCGAGTGGGTGAGCTGGTGACCTTGCGTTTGTGCATCTCCAGTGCCTGGCTGCGCAGTGCAAGCTCCTTCTCAACAGCGGCGATCGTCGCCTGGAGGACTCGCTCCTTGTCTTCTAGACGTCGCACCACCTGCATCTGTGCATCCACCTGCATCACAACACACACACACACACTCTATATACTACACACTACTACACTACTATACACTACTATATACTACACTATACACTACACTATACACTACTACACTACTATATACTACACACTACTATATACTACACACTACACTATATACTACAATATACACTACTATACACTATACTACACACTACACTATACACTACTACACTATACACTACTATATACTACACTATACACTACACACTATACACTACTATATACTACACTATACACTACTACACTATACACTACTATATACTACACTATACACTACTATATACTACACTATACACTACTATATACTACACTATACACTACTACACTATACACTACACTACACACTATACACTACTATATACTACACTATACACTACTATATACTACACTATACACTACTATATACTACACTATACACTACTATATACTACACTATACACTACACTGTACACTACACTATACACTACTACACTATACTACTACACACACACTACACTATACAACTATACACTACACTACTACACACTACTATACAACTATACACTACACTATACACTACTACACACTACTATACACTACACTACTATACACTATACAACTATACACTACACACTACTATACAACTATACACTACACTATACACTACTATACTACACACTACACTACTACACACTACACTACTATACACTACACTACTACACACTACACTACTATAGACTTGATGGTGGAGATGATGATGGTGGTGGTGTAGATGGGAGTCACACCCCCTCCCCCCCTCTCCTCCCTCCCCCCCTCCCTCCCCTCCCTCCCTCCCTCCCACCGTACCTGTGTCTTGAGGGTGAGCACCATGGAGATGATGATGATGGTGGTGGTGGTGTAGATGGGAGTCACACCCCCTCCCCCCCCTCCCCTCCCTCCCCCCCCCCTCCCCCCCTCCCTCCCCCACTCCCCTCCCCCCACCACTGTACCTGTGTCTTGAGGGTGAGCACCTGGTCGGCCAGCTCATCCTTCTCCTCCCGCAGCAGCTTGTGGATCTGGTTGCTCTTGATGCGCTCCGACATCAGCTACACTACTACTACTACACACTACAATACTATACACTACACTATACACTACTATACTACACACTACACTACTACACACTACAATACTATACACTACACTATACACTACTATACTACACACTACACTACTATACACTACACTATACACTACTATACTACACACTACACTACTACACACTACAATACTATACACTACACTATACACTACTATACTACACACTACACTACTATACACTACACTATACACTACTATACTACACACTACACTACTACACACTACAATACTATAGACTTGATGGTGGAGATGATGATGATGATGGTGGTGGTGGTGGTGTAGATGGGAGTCACACCCCCTCCCTCCCCACCACCGTACCTGTGTCTTGAGGGTGAGCACCATGGAGATGATGATGGTGGTGGTGGTGGTGTAGATGGGAGTCACACCCCCTCCATCCCCACCACCGTACCTGTGTCTTGAGGGTGAGCACCATGGAGATGATGATGATGGTGGTGGTGGTGTAGATGGGAGTCACACCCCCTCCCTCCCTCCCACCGTACCTGTGTCTTGAGGGTGAGCACCATGGAGATGATGATGATGGTGGTGGTGGTGGTGTAGATGGGAGTCACACCCCCACTCCCCTCCCTCCCTACCACCGTACCTGTGTCTTGAGGGTGAGCACCATGGAGATGATGATGATGGTGGTGGTGGTGTAGATGGGAGTCACACCCCCACTCCCCTCCCCCCACCACCGTACCTGTGTCTTGAGGGTGAGCACCATGGAGATGATGATGGTGGTGGTGGTGTAGATGGGAGTCACACCCCCTCCCTGCCCCACCACCGTACCTGTGTCTTGAGGGTGAGCACCATGGAGATGATGATGA